AACTTGGTCAATGTTTTTATTGCCTTACTTGATTAACAGAATATGGGGTCAATAGTTGTAGTAATGAAATTTGAAGTGAATTGAATAGTTAGCTCCACAGTAGTCAATAGAGCGCTGCTTTTAAAATATTTTGAGTGCGCAAAAAATCATTGACCAAGTTGAAAAATCGAACAAGAGAGTACTTAACTGATGGCAAGCAAAGAGGGACGCAGTTCGGCTTGGTTGGGGCATTTTGTCGGATCACATCGATCCTCCAGTGGATACCTGTAAATCTATGCAATATCAAGGGGCTTTGTTTACACTTTGACAAAGTCTACAAGTCTCACCAAGGTGAGACGTTAGTTCAAGAGGAACAAGCTAGCGAAAGTGCAAGATGCTTCTCCTAATTATAAACAGAACAGAACAAAAAGGTGGATCAGCTCATGTTTTTTAGTTGAGCTTTGGCTAAATCGACCTCACAGCATTCCAAAAATGCTTCGGTTTTGGTCTGTTACCAAGAGCCGCTCTGTTTTCTGAGCGTAATCAAATTCGCTGTGTTAGGCCGTGTTCTTACCTTGTAGTGAATAGAAAATACATTGAAAGGAAAGTATAATCATCAGTGTAGAGATCCAAAGATTCGGAATTTGGTAATCCGGCATTCTGAAGCTAGACGGTCAAGACAGTCGTAATTTGCCGCTCCGTCAGGCGCGGAGTGGAAATCTCAGAAACCTGAAACGCATGATGTTTATATGAAAGTATCAATTCGGACTGCTGTATCTCGATGTAATAGAGCTTAGTAGCAATATTTTTCAGGTGGAACAGAGCGACGTCGCTGAATGGGAGGATGAAAAACCGCACCAATTCAAATCGTTTGCACCAGCTAATGTTCGATTTTTGGTCATCCCTGTTAACTGATCTACGTGAAAGTATTGATATTCTAGGTGCTTATGACTAACGACTCCCTCAAAAGCCGTCCGCAGTTATTCGTTGGAGCTGGACCTTCCATGCAAGATCGTGACAACAGTTCTATGCAGTGGGGAGGTACGAGAGTTTTTAGTGGCATATTTTTCCGTGTTGATGGCCCTACCTGCCCTTACAATCCCTTCCTCCAATTCTTAAACCGAGTTGTCATCGACATTCCTTAATAGGTGCATATGTGGCTCGGAACTTGTCGCCAGAGTTAACACGAGTCCCAGAGCGTGAATATTGCGCCATTTTTCGCAGAAATGCCCTGCTTACAAATGGTCCTGCGAAACAGCCCTGCTTTGGCGTTTGTACCCGAGGCGCATGCGTTTTCGCCAAAACGTATATAACGTCCATACACAGGGAGAGCGAAAGGGGGAGGGGTAAAAATATCCCGAGTAACAAGTTTCCGGTTAACTTGATGATTCGAGACCGGAAACAGTTCTCTAGCAAAATCCACTCACGAGAACCGATTTTCGTAAAAATTTTGAGGCTGATTTTTGATGATTGAGGCCACAACTGGCAAACAGTACCGTGAACTTTATCGTCGTTTTAGTCCAAAGATCGCTGTCACAAAGAACGTTGACGCTAAAGAGCGGTGGGCGCCGTTTACTAAAAGGCGCCTGTTATCAACTTCGCAAAAACAAGGCCTGCGTTTCCGCAAAAAAAAGGCCGAGAACTAAAGTTAGCTATAAA